CAGACCTCCTGCGATCATCGGAGTCTTGATGGGGGCGATAGGGTTGCGTTAGATGGTGCAGAGGGGGGGGAGCTCTCTCGTCATCACCTCCTGGCCCATCTTTATGCAGTCCTCCTCTGGAGGTAACCAATCCCCGTTCAGCTCCGGGTCTCGATCCTCCAATGACGGACGGCACCTGGAACTCATTTACATACTTAATCACCGCAACACACACCCATTCATAACAATACGACGGCAGTCGTAACACTTGGACTGAAACAGACGAAAAGTTACCTTAAATAACACCTTTCTCTCCAAGGAACAGTAAGCGAGCCGATTAAAAAGTTCCCTGACTGATCGGAGGTGAGACAGTTGACACCCAGGGGTTGCTTAAGAAGCCATCACCAGGTAAAACTGACATGTTCCGGGTGACGTGTCATGTGGAAACTGAGTGCAGAAGGGACGTGCTGATCCGGTTGGACCACACATTTGATAAAGTAAAATTAGTATAATACTAACCTTACTTTCATCCTTTACTTTGGTCTTTATTTGCCAAAACTTAAGCTGAAAGTGCCAGTAAAATTCTTTGGTTGTGTTAACAACCAAAGAATATCAGAGCTGATAGTTTTACTGTTCTATATAAGTAATCTGAGTTTATGTGAATTGAAATTCGGACGCGAGTTTTATCTCATTTAACTTTGACGCTTGCTATAGGAATAACCACAATCAAGTGTACTTATGATTAGTTCAATTTGTGTAAATAAATGATTGCATAGTCTTTTGTGAATCAACTTGAGCTCGTCTGAACGTTAACTTATTGTGTCACTTTTCACTTTGCACAGTCAAGATATTAAAAGTAATGAGAAAATACCTTGGTAAAACTTTTCTCATAACCTTGTGTATGAGAGATGTAGGAAAAGCTTAATTCACCCTAAGCTCTCTCCCCTACAATTTTCTCCAAGACCTTAAACAAAAAGGGTAGCTTTGAAATGGGCCAGTAGTTATTCAGATCAGATGGGTTTAAAGATTGCTTTTTAGTATGGGTTCCACAACTGTTTTTTTAAAGGATTCTGGGACACATCCTGATGTAAGTGAGAGGTTTAGCAAGTCCGCAAGTTTGGGTCCTACTACGTCAAAAACAGCTTTTAAGAATCTGGGAGGTAAGATATCAAGAGAGGAGGCAGATGGTTTCATTTTTTGGATTATGGTCCCAAGATTATTCACAGTTACCAGATCAAAAGAAGACCAGGAAGGAGTGAGACTGTTCTCAGGAGGGGTGGTTTTGTGAAAAGGAGCATGAGACGGTTGAGTTGAGATGCTGTGCCGGATGTTCTCAATTTTAACGACAAAGTGTGTTAGGAATTTGTTGGGACTGGCAGGTGAACAGGCAGTAAGGAGAGAAAATGACCAGGGAAACCAACGTGTCCATGGTGCTGAATAAGGCTCTGGGGTTTTTCTTAAAGCGGGTGACCAACTGAGCAAAATATTGAGACCTGGCATTTTTTATCATGGTCTGCAGTGATAGTCTGAGATCTCTAAGGTGAAGCATGTGCACTTCTAAACGGGATGACTTCCACAGACGCTCTGCCTGCCTACATTTGCATCTAGCAGAGCAGATGGTCTCATTTATCCATGGAGTAGGTGTTTTAACAACAGAGGATGTTACAGTACAGTCATTAAAAACAGTTGAACAGTGATGGTCTAATAAATCGATAAAATCATCTGGTTTGTTTATATAAGCCAGGACAGATGGGTCAAAAGAGGCAGAAAAAGTGACAACAGCATCCTGCTTTAAAATCTTTTTCTGAATCTGTTGTCTGGGGGGAGGGGGCTCCAAGACAGAATTAACATAAAAAACACACCAAAATGGTCGCTAATTTGCAAGTCTTCAACAGACACATTATTTACATTCAAACCCAGAGAACAAACCAAGTCCAACATGTGACCACGCTGGTGAGTTGGGCCTGAAACATGTTGAATAAAGTTAAAACAGTCCAGAATGGAGATGAAATCACGGGTCTCACTGCAATCTGCATTATCAAAATGAAAGTTAAAGTCACCAAGCAGTAAAATGCAGTCCTGTTTTATGATGGAGGATAAAAAAATCAGCAAATTCTTTAAGAAAGTTTGTAGCTGGTCCAGGAGGGCGATAAGTCAAGATACAGTAAAAAGGGGAAGAAGAACCAACCTTAATAGTCTGTGATTCAAAGGATGAAAAAGTCCTTGTGTTTACCAGCCGGCAAGAGAAACTGTCCCGATGTAGCGTTACCAGTCCTCCACCGCACCGATCCAGCCAAGTCGTCACAACCACCGCGTCGCCAGGAGAGCGCAGTTCATTCAGGTGGAAGTGTTCATCCTTCTTCTGCCAGGTTTCAACCAGAAACATAAAATCCAGTTTTTTTAGAGTGGAACAGGTTGTTGAGCAGGAGAGCCTTGTTGCTGATGGATCTCGCATTCAGAAGAAACATCCGGAGCGGCGGAGGGTTGTTGAGGTCCGGCGGTGAAACCAGAGGAATTTGGATGAGGTTCCTTTTGCGAAGCTCAGAGCGAGAGTTGTGGTGCTAGCTTTGGGAGGAAATCGATGGTGGGAGGCTGGGCCAGGCGCGGTGTGCGCTGAGAGGGCCATCAAGGTCCCGGGCCCCGGTCAGGTAGAGGAGGCAGCGAGGCCAGACTCTGTTAGGTGGGGCACCTCCAGCAGCTCGTCTTTTCCGCACTGCAGCTCCCGTACGGCAGCCTTGCTTTCTGGTGTTTCCTCGCTGGACTACCACAAGATTCAGGGAGACAGATCAGATGCCTATCCGGCTCTGAGAGATGGAGGAAAGGTGGCGGAGGGTGAGCGCGGCTGTAATCTTCCCACGAGTTTGAAGGCCGCTCCATTTATCTCCGAATCGACAGTAAGGACTAACGGTCATACTGGAGCTGAGGGAACACAGCAGCCAAGATGTTCATGTTGATCTGAGGGCAAAAGGTAAGTCCAGGTGTTTGAGATAGAAAAATCAAAAACAGATGTAGAAATATAAAGAAAAAATGTAACCAAGAGTAGGAACACGAGATGGAGCAGCCGAACAAAGGCGTCGCCATCTTAAAAAAATGCATAATATATACAGTATATTTTATGCAATTATGCATAAAATTCTGAAACACACCTGATGGATCACTTCCAGGCAATAAAAGGAACAGATTTGGTCAGGTGAAACCGGTCCTGGAAGCTCAGCAATGGGTTTTATAACAGCCTTCCCCCTGAACCACTGGCGGGTGATATTTCTGCAATAATGCATAAAATTCAGAAACCCACCTGATGGATCACTTCCAGGCAATAAAAGGAACAGATCTGATCAGGTGAAACCAGTCCTGGAAGCTCAGCACCGGGTTTTATAGCCGCCTGCGAGAGAGTTTTATATTGTGTGCTTTGACTTTGAAAAAAGGGCAGTACTCTTGTGTTAGCCACGTTGACCCTGATAGTTTTTTGTTTTGTTTTTCCTCCCCTGTATGGAGAGAAGAGAGGAGAGTTCTTTGAATAAATGGAGACAAGTTCCCGGGCTCCAAAGTTATTTGACACTGTGGTTCTCGCACTGGAAAGGGTTTCCAGCCCTCATAGCTCGCACGTTACAGTGAGTCCTAATTGAAGGAGATTTAAAAATGGTACTTTTTGTTCAAGCATCACTTTTCTGTTTCTCTGTCAGGAGGAAGTAAGGATTTTATCTTTTCTTTTTTTTGTACGTAAATATATGGTTAAGTAGATAGTTTTGTTTGACAATACTTTAAATTAAATAAAACTAGCAACACATTACGTTCTGTTTTATTTACTTTAAAGAAGGAGGAGTAGGGAAGCCATATTGTGTTTTTTTGATACTAAGACTGGACGAGTAGCTCTCGGCAAACTGCCGACTTCAAAAGTAGCTCTTGGTTCATAAAAGGTTGGGCACCCCTGGTCTACCTTCAATAGTGGACAATTAAAATGGACAGTTCTCACATCTCATTTGTTTGAGTTTTGGTTTGTAAGGTTTTTGCAGAAATTACGCTTTCTCTCATTACCTCTCAGATTTTTCCTATAACCAGGTCAACATCCATAGCACTCTAAATGTTTGTTTGTTTGTTTTCTCTTTTGCTTTTCAGTTTAGCAAAAACTTTGTGGAAAACATCTGTTCATTCCTCACCGTCATGATGATAATGATGGTGAATGCAGCTGCAAGAAGAAGTGCTCTCTAAACAGAAGACACCTGTAAACAATGTTTTTTTAAACACCAGTTGAGCAGCGTCATACAGTCCAGTATGCACTTCTCTGGTTTCTTTACTTTAATAAAGTCATAATGAAAAAAACTCAGTGTATTGTTTATGTGAGTTTCTGCTTTGGTACATTTTCTTTAGGATACCAATATGTCAAACTACGTTTCAAATGTGTTTTTGGTGTATTTACCATTTAATAACAGAATCACAATCACCTGAAAATAATTAAAATGGTCAGGAGTCTTTGAACAACTTTCATTAGGTTTATTTTAGCTGTGCTGTACAGGGAGCTGGACACAGACCACGTTAGCTAAAACTAATAAAGTTATCAAAAAAAGCCTTTAGCTTAAGTTGATACGTTGATATGAAGTCTGGGTGTAAGACTCAGTTTCAGTACTCTGTAGTTTGATGCAAATCACTGGTAATTAAAAGTCCAAATRTGAGAAAATGGTAAACATTGTTTCCTCCTTCCTTCATCACTTTATCATGAATCATAGAATGCTCCATTTTACCAGTCAGAGTAACAACATAACCAGGTGATGAWGAGTACTTCACTTTCTCATTGGTTTTGCTGCTTGGGTCCAAAATGACAGAGACAAACAGCAGAATTTAAAAGAGCCCCAGCACACAGAGGCAATTCAATGATGTTTCACATGATGGGGTGTGAAAGTTTGGGCAGCCTTGTTAATTTTCCTGATTTACCTTTATGAATCATTGATTGTTTGGATAAAAAAATCAGTAAAAAAGATCATATAGGGACGAACACAGTGATATTTGAGAGGTGAAATGAATTTTATGTGATTCACAGAAACTGTGTAATAATTGGTTAAACACAATTAGGCAGGTGCATAAATTTGGGCACTGTCGTCATTTTATTGATTTCAAAACCTTTAGAACTAATTATTGGAACTCAAATTTGGTTTGGTAAGTTCACTGACACTTGACCTCCACACACAGGAGACTCCAGTTATGAGAAAGGGTATTTAAGGGGGCAATTGTAAGTTTTTCTCCTCTTTGCATCTTGTCTTACAGTTTAATGATGGTGGTGCCGGTGCATAGCAGCCCCACCTCTGTCAGTGTGCCCCAGGGCAGCTGTGGCTTCAATCGTTTTCCATCATCAGTGTGTGAATGAGAGTGTGAATGGGTGAAGGTCTCTAAGTGTAAAGCGCTTTGGGGTCCGGAAGGACTTGATAAAGCGCTTTATAAGTTCAGTCCATTTAACTTTTACCATTTAGCCAAAACMACTGTCAGCTCATCTTTCACTGTCATGATGCTAATGATGGTGAATGTAGCTGTAAGAAGCAGCACTCTCTAATCAGATGTGAAAACACCTGTAAACAATCCTTTTGTTTTCTTAAAAACACCAACTGAGCTGCATCATAAAGCCCAGCAGGGGCGTCACTAGGTTTTAAGGACAAGGGGGGGGGGGCTTAGCCACCAGGAGACGCACAGAATTTTTGTATATTGTATATTTGTATTGTGTGTGTGTGTGTAT